TGGCCACTGAGCCTGTGCGTCCGGAGCCTGTGCTCCGCAACGGGAGAGGCCACAACAGTGAGAGGCCCGCGGCCCCGCAAAAAAAAAAAAAAAAAAAAAAAAAAAAAAAAAAAAAAAAAAAAGACTGAGCTGAGGTTTGTGCCAGCCAGGTGGCTGATCTGCTGGCATCAGCAAGCCTGGGTCTCGTGCTCAGGTGGGGTCCGCGGTCTCCTGGTGGACAAGTTTGCTTTCAGGTGTCAAGTGTCTGGGGAGCAGCCGTCCAGGCTGCTCCTTGAAGGGGAAGCAGCGTACTGCCCTCACCGGGGAATGTGGGCTTCCCCAGACAAGCTGAGGGCTGCGGGGCTGGTGCAGGAGGAGGGTCCTGGCAGAGCTTGGGTGAGATGCTTGCTGGTGGCAGTGCCCCGTGGTGGTGCTGAGGTAGGGGCCAGGGTCACCAGCACCCGGGCGCATCCTGGCAGGAGGAGGGACCTCCCGGCGGGCGTGGGCCCCCCGGGCCCCCCACTGGAGGGCTGGGAGGCCGGCACAGGGGCCTGGAGCTCGGCCAGGAGGCCTGCTGGGGAAGGTGGTTCTCCCGGCCCCACCCACCGGCCACCCCGGCCTGGCCCAGCTGACCCCGCAGCCACCTGAGGACGGCTGAGGCGGTGCCAGGGGCTCCTTGGGATTTGGGCTGTCTGTGCTGCCTGCAGGTGTGTCAGGAGAGTCTCAGCAGATGTGGGGCTGGGCCCCTTCCAGGGGCGTGTGCCCAGCACCTCTTCCCCGAGAGACCCTGCCCCCTTTGCAGGGCTGCTGGAGGCTCGGCTGAGAGGTGGGTGCCCATGCAGACGTTGTGAGAGTTGCGGAGCAGGCCTGGGGCGTGGCGGCCAGGGTGCTGGGGAGAGGCCAGTGGGGCCTGGCTGGGCGCAGGGGCTCTGAGCAGGCACCGCCCCCAGGGTGCTCGTGTGCCCCATTGGGGTGCATCTCCCGAGGGCTCCGGGCCCTGCCCTGGCCCCAGCAGGCTGGCGACTCTGAGCCCCAGTTTCCCCATCTGTCTCCCGGGTAGGGGGTGAGTGACGGGACTTGTCTGCAGCTGGCTTTCTGGCTCTGCTTTCCCGGGGGTCCTCCCATGTCCCCCCGGGGTGGGGCCGGGGTCGTGCTCCTGACTGGATGGGCTGGGCAACTCCTGCTGCCCACTGGTCAGGGGGGCGAGGGTCCTGCAGGTGGGACAGGGATGCCCTGAGTGCGGGGCTGGCCCCCCAACCTGACAGGTGACAGCGACTCCTCCTGGGGGTTGTGTGACCCCAGGCCTCTTCCTCTCAGACCCGGTTACGTGCCTCTTCTCTCCCCACCCACCCACCCACCAAGGGGCCGGCCTACCAAGGACTGAATGCTCTGCTGGATGGGGGACAGAAGTGTGCACAGTCACCGAGGCCTTTGTCTGGGGGGCTGGGGACAGGGCTGTGACTCAGAGTCCCCAGATTCGTGCATAATCACACATAGGAATGTGCTGAGAGGGGACAAAGGCCTCCCAGCAGAGTGTCTGGTGAGGAAGCTGATTTGGACTGGGGATCTGGGAAGGCTTCCTGGAGGAGGTGACATATAGCTGAGATTAGAACAGTGGGCTAATCATGAGCTAATAGGGTGGGGATGAGCATGTGAGGATGCAAAAGGAGAAGCATGTGCTGGGGCCCGTGGCAGAAGGAAGCTGGGCATGTCCTTAGGGGTGGGGAGAGGCCCAATGTGGGCCTGGTGGCCTGAGGCCCCAGCTGTGGCCTTATCCTCAGAGTAGGGGTGCCATGGGAGAACTTCAAGCAGAGGGTGGATGGTCCTGTGCTCTGGGACAGCAGTGTGATGGGGGCCTGGAGGCTGGAAGGATATGCCAGAGAACGGAGGCTCAAACAAGGATGGGGCGTCAGAGGGCCACGGGGAGCAGGGGGCAGAGGTCCAGGGGACGGGCTGGGCTGCTGGGCGCTACCAGAACTTGGGGACCGCCATGCCCCTCGCCGGCCGTGGAGGGGGGTACTCCGGTTGCCGGCATATGAACGCCTGGGTCTCGGCTGGGAGGAGTCTCGGGGTCCAGCCTCAGAGGAGCCTTGGGGCCGAGTGATGGATTCGTGGGATGACGTGGGTGAGGACGAGGCCGTGGGTGAGCACGGATGGGCTGGGGCCTCGCCCAGCCCACGGGCACCACGCAGGTGAGGGCAGGCGGTGATGGAGCCATCCGTTACCGGGTGCGTGGTCACTGGGAGCGCACCCCAAGGGCCTGGGAGGTGCGGTGACGGGTGCCTCGGTGTCCTGGGAGCCGTGACAGCTCAGAATGCCACCCAATGTCCCAGCTTCTCAGGCCAGTGGGAAATTCACAGGCCCCGTGTGAGCTGGGAGGGTCCAGGGCTGGGGCCCAACCTCCCGTGGAACCGCAGGGGCCCTGGCCCCTTCCCTACCTGCCCGAGTGGCCGGGCTGCTGGCCAGCAGGGAACTTTCGGGGCTCACTCTGCGGGC